AAGGTGTGTTTCTTTTCCTCTACATCTACATTTTTATATATAATTATGGAGAAACAACTATGGTGCTTATGACCTCGAAATGTGAACTGTAAACCAATTTGGTTTACAGTTCATTATTATGTTAAGAATGCAATTGAACATTGGAGACTTAAATAATTAAAAGGTTATATATTAAAAAGTTTTGATGTCTGGCTCAATCAGCATCACCACAAAAGCTTCCATTGATTTCTATATAATCTTCCAGCGCTGGGAAACCGTCGTGGTATAAGTTATAACGAATGGTATATGTTTTGCCGAGAATATTCAGTTATTCATATAATTTTCACATATAGTTTTTCTCACATCGCCATTAGCGTTCTCCATTAAAAATTCACTCAAGAGTTTTATTCTTCCTCGTTGCTTCTTTACACAGTCTGACACTTGCATTTATTTTCCATTCATATTTTGAGCGATATTTTCCACCCGTGAGTTTTGTGCGAGGGTTTTCTCTCAGGCTCCTGTGTGTTGGGGCAAATGGTGCTTCCTTGAGCACTCTCTTGAAGCACACTCATTATCTCTCTCTCTCTCTCTCTCTCTCTCTCTCTCTCTCTCTCTCTCTCTCTCTCTCTCTCTCTCTCTCTCTCTCTCTCTCTCTCTCTCTCTCTCTCTCTCTCTCTCTCTCTCTCTCTCTCTCTCTCTCTCTCTCTCTCTCTCTCTCTCTCTCTCTCTCTCTCTCTCTCTCTCTCTCTCTCTCTCTCTCTCTCTCTCTCTCTTACACTCTCTCGTTCTCTCTCTCTGTCTGTCTCTCTAAGACAAGAGTATATTTAGAATGTAGCTGATTTTCCTAGTGACACTCCAAACTAAGAACTGTCATCTCATCATAAGCCTGTCCATATAGTTATTCATTTAATTGTCTTATCATTATTTGTTCATTAGGAATACAATTTAACTAATGTTACCATCATGAGATGTAGAGGATGTGTACCAGATGTGTGAAGTGTGCCAGAGCCTTCTTGTGGTAAATTATTTTAATCTTAAGCTTATTTTAGCATGTAAGAACATGCTCCAAATGTAAGTCAGCATAGGAATTACTTTTTCTTATGATTTAGGCCAGCACGAAGTTATTGAAGGCTGCGCGCCTTGTGAATGTAGCTGCAGCATTTGCTTGTCTACGAAGTTGTTCCAGGTGGGGAACATTGTGTATATTGTCCTTGTACATTACAAGGCGACATCTCTCCGGTGTTGACGGCTCTCAATATACTCACCAATCCAACCAGGGTGGGCCAAGAGCTGAGCTTTCTCACGTGGTTATCTACCCAGACCATAGCGATGCATATTCCAAATGGAAGCAGAATTGTTTTATATAAGTAGCCTGCTCTTGGCTAGCCAAGACTACTAGGGGTAGCCATGGCTCTTCATGGTCATCAAAGAGTCAAAGTTTATCATCAAGATGTTAGCTTCATCACTTAGCACTAGATTTTCTACTCAATCATATACCTGTCCTTGCTGCACTGTTATGCAGTCTAGTTATGATCGTCACCTGTGTTTGCTGCCACTGCCTACAACTGCTAGAAATTGTGGCAGTTCGCGATTAATGAGCCTCGTACCTATTGGGATTTTCTCTCATGGTCATCATCGCATTATGCTAGAGCTATAAGGATGAGAAGGAGATTGTTTAAGTGGATCTTTCACAGCAAAGAGCTAAGAAAACTACCCTGTGGTATATTGGTACCAATGGAATGGCTTTAAATTTTTGCTCTATTAAAACTACGTTTAGAAGGTAGGTAGACTCTTATTAACTGTAGAATGACGGTACTAAGATACTGACATACTAACTGTTTGAAGCTTAGCTGCAGATTGTGGTGTCGTATCCGGTCAAAAGCACCAACAATATCTAATGGGGAAATAATGCTACTTAATGGAAAGGTTCAAAAAGAGATCAGCACCAGAACAACATCTCCTGAAACCCTGTTGGAGACTGTACGGTAACTGATGATGATCAAAGAATACTGTGACTTGCTGTGGGATTACTGTCTAGCGAATTTTTGTCAGAAATTGACAGCAACGACATTGGTACGTAGTTAATGACCACTAAACGGCTTTTCTTTTTTGTGATATTGTCCTGCCTAACTCAAGGTCAATATGCCTTGAGGTAGGAAGGTCCTCACACCTGCATAACGGCCTCGGGGTGACCTTATCCGAACCCCATTGCCTTAAATATGTCAAGTGATTTAAAGAGATGGAGGACTTGTCTCTGCTGACAACTTTGACACAGTGCTTGGAACAAGTTATAGAGGCTGTATGATGTTGTTGTTGTTTTAGATTCAGCTACTCGGAATATCAAGTTGCAAGCAGCACGGGTTAAGGTGATCCCCATCGTGCTCACCTGGCACAGCAGATGTGCTGTAGAGGCTGTCGTTCTGGATCACGCACCTGTATCCTGGTGCCCAAATTCTTCGTCTGCCAGTAGGTCAGCCTTTTCCTGATTGCTGATGGCAACAGTTTTTTTTTTTTTTTTTTTTTTTTTTTTTTTTTTTTTTTTTTTTTTTTTTTTTGAGATATATACAAGAGTTGTTACATTCTTGTACAGCCACTAGTACGCGTAGCGTTTCGGGCAAGTCCTTAATCCTATGGTCCCTGGAATACGATCCCCGCCGCGAAGAATCGTTTTTTCATCCAAGTACACATTTTACTGTTGCGTTAAACAGAGGCTACAGTTAAGGAATTGCGCCCAGTAAATCCTCCCCGGCCAGGATACGAACCCATGACATAGCGCTCGCGGAACGCCAGGCGAGTGTCTTACCACTACACCACGGAGACTGAGTTCCATCTCTCTCTCTCTCTCTCTCTCTCTCTCTCTCTCTCTCTCTCTCTCTCTCTCTCTCTCTCTCTCTCTCTCTCTTTGTATTCTAGTCCCTTTCTGCCTCTTCTCCTCTCTTCAGTTCCCCTCAGCCCTGGGAGAGTTGGCGAGGCCATCATCCCTTCTCTGTATACCGTTCATGAATAATAAATCTCTTAAAGGCAGTCAACCAGCATCACGCGAGAGAGAGCAGTGGAGAGGCCGACTGAGAGTAGGGAAGAGAAGTGGCAGGGAGAATGGGCGAGGGAGAGTGAGGGGGGGGGGGAGGGAGAGAAGAGGGGTAGAAATGTTAGTAATGAGGTTGGAGTAGGAGAAAGGGTAGGGGAAAATATTAGTAAGGAGGGTAGGAGAGAGTAGGTGTTGGAGATGGGGAAATATGGGTGAGGGAAGGATAGGAGGTCATGGAGGATATATTCTTGGAAGAATTGGTGAGTGTGGAATGTTTCTTGAGTAAGATACTGACTTATATGGAGAGTCCAGCAGTAGTGTGTGTGTGTCTGGAGGGTCCAGGGACGCTGGTCCGATCCCATAACATGGTATTCATTGTTTTCTAATTGAATAATGTGGACTTAAGCATGTTTCCACTAAGGAAGTTCCATGCTGGCAACTATAATATATATTATTCCAGCTAGGATGCCCGGCGGTACCTGGGTCTCTCTCTCTCTCTCTCTCTCTCTCTCTCTCTCTCTCTCTCTCTCTCTCTCTCTCTCTCTCTCTCTCTCTCTCTCTCTCTCTCTCTCTCTCTCTCTCTCTCTCTCTCTCTCTCTCTCTCTCTCTCTCTCTCTCTCTCTCTCTCTCTCTCTCTCTCTCTCTCTCTCTCTCTCTCTCTCTCTCTCTCTTTCTCTTTATCTCTTCCTCTCCCGCTATGTCTCTTTTTCAGAAAATGTACCATTACGGAAGGATGAAAAACCCCTCAGAATGTCTACTAAAGTCAAATCCCCCATTTTGTACTTCATCAAAATAGTAGGGGTTCATTAGTAGGTTCTAGCAATAGGGCGTTATAGGCATCAGTAATAGTTCACTTTATGATGTCATATAACAGCCATAATGTGTGGCCTCCCTCCCTCGAGAAGTATCGATTCCCCTTGCATAATCAGCGCCTTTTTTTCGAGAAGGAGACATCGTCTTGGCTTTGGCAGGAGTCGACTGCATCGGTTTCAATTATTTCAGTTTGATGTGTAATTCCCTATCTGTCATTATATTATGTATTATGTAGTTGGATGAGAGCGTTAGCACACGACACTATGACACTCTGTAGGATAGACCAGGGTGACCAGACCACACACTAGAAGGTGAAGGGACGACGACGTTTCGGTCCGTCCTGGACCATTCTCAAGTCGATTGATTCTCAAGTGATTGACAATCGACTTGAGAATGGTCCAGGGCGGACCGAAACGTCGTCGTCCCTTCACCTTCTAGTGTGTGGTCTGGTCAACTTACTTTAGCCACGTTATTGTGACTCATCGTCTGCATATAGACCAGGGTGTATACATGCACCTGTTAGCATATTAAAAGTCTTTCAATCACCTTGAGGACAAGAGGAGCCGGTGGCTGAGCGGACAGAACACTGGCCGCGTGATCCTGTGGTCCCGGGTTCGATCCCGGGGGCCGTCGAGAAAAGATGGGCAGAGTTTCTTTCACCCTGATGCACTCTTTACCAAGCAGTAAAAAGGTACCTGGGTATTAGTCAGCTGTCACGGGATGCTTCCTGGGGGTGGAGGCCTGGTCGAGGACCGGGCCGCGGGGACACTAAAGCCCCGAAATCATCTCAAGATAACCTCAAGATAGATAACCTTCTGATGTTGAGTGCTCAATAACATACTGAACAATATATACGAGAACAACTCTCTAACCCCGTCTATGTAAGGCAGACGAGAATGTATGTATCGTTATTAACACTGTTAAAAACATTTTCAACCTCTTAATGTGGTTAAATGGTCAATAACTCAATACACAACATAATGTCTAACAGAGCCTTAAATCTGTCCATGGAGGACAGAAAGAGAATGTAGGTATGATGTTAACATTGTATAAATAAATGGCCATCGCCTGTGGCAGGAAAATAACTTAACAATTACCAAAAAATAACAGAGTTACACATCCATTGACTTACGTTTTTATGGCAATATTTACATCAGCCGCAGGTAAAAATAGGCACATAATCGTAAAAACTTTATTGATGTTGCTACGATGTACATTTAATTTTACATATACCAGTTTTCAAGAGAGATAGTTTTGTAATATATTTTGTGAGTGAAAATTGAGTAAATATTAGAGTGATGATTTTCAAAAGTAAGTAGGCAATCATTTAGGGTTTAATCTCTCTCTTTAAGACGAGGAAGAAAAACAACCTTATTGAAGCACTACAATAGATCTCAAAATCGCTTAAGTTGAGTGGCAGTCTTAAGAAATACTATATCGTAAGTAAATTCACAAGTCAGGAGTCACGTAGAATATGCCACTTTAATAATCATGCCAATCATGTGCACTAAATGCATCATTTCGCCAATCAGATGCGCCCGCTACAACATTCTTCCAAACAGATGTACTCGCTTCAACATTCCACCATTCCGATGCTAAACATTCCACTAATCAGACGCATCCGCTTCAACATTCCACCAATCAGATTATCCCGCTGCCATATTCTATCAATCAGACTAGATGCATCCCCTTCAACATCACAGCCATCAGATACCGCACTTGCAGCACCAATAAGATGGACCGGACACAATGTTCTGCCAACCAGATGCACCAACACCACCGCCTTTCTTCAACTGAAGCATTCTTGGAATCTCACGAAATGGACACCAAGGAAAAAAAATCGTCAACTTCGTGACTCTAAATGTTCTCCTGGAAAATGTCCACCAATTGGAGGACTCTCAGGCATCAGAGAGAAAGGAGCATACCCACTGAGTACCTCCAGAAAACCAGAAACAAAAATTGTTTCAAGAACCAGCTTTTCAATCTAAATGGCTCTAGAAACCCCAGCTACCAGATATTTACTTACAGTATTCCTAAGACCAGCTGAGACCCATGACAACATAACAAAAGAAAGCAACGGAGGCAAACGCAGGGTTTAGAATAAGAGTCAGTACGTCAGACGAGGACGATCATGACAGAGAGAACTTGAGGGCAGCTGGGACACTTTAGAGTGACAGCTTGACGTAGACCGCTCTTGAGAGTGACAGCGTGACGCACAGGGCAGCTGGGCCGCTCTTGAGAGTGACAGCGTGACGCACAGGGCAGCTGGACCACTCTTGAGAGTGACAGCGTGACGCACAGGGCAGCTGGGCCGCTCTTGAGAGTGACAGCGTGACGCACAGGGCAGCTGGGCCGCTCTTGAGAGTGACAGCGTGACGCACAGGGCAGCTGGGCCGCTCTTGAGAGTGACAGCGTGACGCACAGGGCAGCTGGACCACTCTTGAGAGTGACAGCGTGACGCACAGGGCAGCTGGGCCGCTCTTGAGAGTGACAGCGTGACGCACAGGGCAGCTGGGCCGCTCTTGAGAGTGACAGCGTGACGCACAGGGCAGCTGGGCCGCTCTTGAGAGTGACAGCGTGACGCACAGGGCAGCTGGACCGCTCTTGAGAGTGACAGCTTGACGCACAGGGCAGCTGGGCCGCTCTTGAGAGTGACAGCTTGACGCACAGGGCAGCTGGGCCACTCGAGATACCGTACTGACACAATCGTCCTCAAGTTTGATTACATGTTGCTGAAGGTTTGCTCAAAGAAGGTCAGAGCGAGGAGAGTGTAATTGGCACGAGTTTGAGCCATGTCGATGAGAAGAGTATTTGTACAAGTATTAGAGTGGTTACTGGGAAATGTTTACAATCAGTAGTAGTAGTAGCTCGGTGTTGGCGGTGAAAACATTGTATGTTCTTATTATGCTGCATTTAATTCAGGTTATATTATAAACCTAATGCTTATGATCTGTCATTAAAACAAATCTTGTGTGTGTGTGTGTGTGTGTGTGTGTGTGTGTGTGTGTGTGTGTGTGTGTGTGTGTGTGTGTGTGTGTGTCAGGAGCTGGAGTATTGTGTGTAACAACTTATAAAATAATTACAATGTGTTCTGTTACTAAGCTCCTATTGAGTGTTTTTATACTGGGTGGCAAACTCTATAGTGTCCGCGCAAGGAATGTCGGCTTCGTCGCTCAGGAAACAATAGGGAAACAAATTTGGCAGTTTTGGAACATAAGCGACCTCAAGTAGCCACTCAGGAAGGCGAAAAAGGTAAACAAGGAGTGTTAGTCTTAGTAGACACGTGTGTGGGGAGTCTATATCCGTTCTTTCATAACATTTCACTGTTCATCATTGTCTTATGTGAAAGAACTTCAAGTACTTATTCCCATTTATTCAGCTAATCGACGCGACCTGAATATAATACTATGTTGAGGTTAGACTTTTACTGCTATCTATAATATTTTTTGTAACGCCTTGCGATCATTTTAATAAACATTTCACAAGAGATAAAGAACAACAACGAACTTAACTGTAGGACTTTACTAACGATTAACGTTGGTTATCTATGAAATAATTTACATGTACCTCTTAAATCTAAAAAAAAAAAATATTGCGTCAGTGCTTCGAAAAGTCATATTTGATTATCATTTATGTCATAAAAAGGCAAATAAAATGATGACATTGAAGATGAGTTAATCATCAACAAAATGATTTGGGAAGCTGGGTATGAACTGTCCTATCTCGCCTTCCATCATCTCCAACGTGACGTATGGGCACAGCGGGCACTCGCGGTCTAATAGTGGTAACCCACACATGTGCGTCAGGTCGAGACGCGTATGTGATACTAGTTACAAATTATCCTTATAGAGACACATGATGCTTTACCACTCTCTGGCCCCCCGCCTTAAACCCGCTGATCTGTGTTTCGGTTCATTTCTTGGACTTACCCGGGACGGCTGAGGCTGAACGGCCGGTCCAAGAACCGGGACTCTCCACCGGACCCTGCGCAAGTTGTGGCGACTATCATGCGCAGTCCCGTTCTTGACGTGAAACTAGCACAGCAGAGTCGTACAGTCTGGCACCTGTAGCACTATCCAGCGCAGGAATGATTAAATCTATTTTTTAACACCGAATAGAATTCGCCACACTTGGGGAGCTATTTCGGACCAAACATCTCACATCTTTCTGCAAAGACCTCAATGGTCCGACAGTCATCAATCTGTTAAGTCCTGTGCCTTTATCCCTGGGATTCTCTTAGCTTTCCACCACGTCGGAGGATTATGTATTACCAGTATTTCCATATCCTAGAAACTTTTCAGCAAGATTGATATTCTCTCTGAAGCAGAATGAAATACCTTGCTGGAACGCCACTAAGAACCGGAAAGGGGGCGCTCGTATCATCATGTATGCGGCAGTGGTTGGATCTAAATCGCGATGAAAGGCTGACAAATTTAAGGGTTTCTCTTGCTCTAGGCGACTATCTAGGAAGCTTCTCCAGTCTTAGGAGTTTTCAGTAAGGCCGTTACTCTCTAGATCATATAGTGGCTTAATAAGACTTACTGAAGAGCCGTGAAATTGGAGAATGACCCTAGGGATTTTAAGCACCAATAGCATAACAGCAAGGTCTATTAAAGGTTCATACATTATACCACCAACAAAATTTATGAATAATTGTGAAGAAATCTACTAATTATATTGTATTATATTGAATAGAACTATATACTCCGAGACGCTACAAATACTGTGATATATACACATGCAAGACACGTATCATTACAGATGCTTCAGTGAAACAAAGCACCTGTCAGCAGAGAATGGAAGGTCTTTAATATTTTCCATATGTACAATAACACTAAAAGGTTTACAGGTTTACATAGCTGTGTGTGGATGAGTGTGTGTGTGTGTGTGTGTGTGTGTGTGTGAGTGTGTGTGAGTGTGTGAGTGTGAGTGTGTGTGTGTGTGTGTGTGTGTGTGTGTGTGTGTGTGTGTGTGTGTGTGTGTGTGTGTGTGTGTGTGTGTGCGTATGTGTGTGTGTGTGTGCGAGTGTGTGTGTGTGTGTGTGTGTACATGTGTTTGTTTGCACAAGAATAAAATCTACCCTTTGACTTATTAGGGAGTCACATTCCTCGTATTGTCTTCAATTGATTTGACCAATTAGAACGCACAGAAAATCGCCCCGCGAGTTCTGATTGGATCTAGTATAACAGGTTCAGTCTTAGTATGCTCAGTGGAGCAGGTCCAAAAAGACACATTTGGACAACACAGTCGAGTCGGGTTTTTCAGCACACTCGTCAAATATCATATTCACTCAAGTGTCATTTGATTTTTTGTTTGATCTGCAATGTTTTTGAACCTGCCCAAATAATTACACACAAAAAAAGAGATAATCAATGCGACTAGAGACGTCTTTGCTAAGGTTTGTACATGGCATTTACACCCACAAGCAGACGCATCCGGCAACAATATACCATTAGTCTATAGACATTTGACATTAGAGCTATCCTTAAGGTATTATTATTTACGTAAAGCTATCTAGTAAGGACGAAACAAAGAAGAAACTCTCAAGAATGTACATATGAACTAACAAGAAAATGGTGATTTATTTTAGCGTAATAAGGAGCCCGTAGAAAGGAGAGAGTGAGAGCTAGACACAATAACCCGTGCAGCAGGGACTAGGCGTTTTGCTTTGGTCTTACCCTGATTCAAGCCACGGCTCATATACACAAACAAATTTATTAATAAGCCCTCAACATAACAGTAAAGTCGCATTAAATACATATGCTCGGATGGGTTTCATAATAAAGTATCTATGACCACAGTGTGCTACAGCTCACGTCATTTCGACAGGCTCCCTATCATTCACTTATACTAAAATCAAACATCAACATTTTTCTCGGAATTCTCCGAGAGTTAATATTATATCTTTTCTTTTATATGACAGTGATTATCTGAGGTTATGAAGAATATGCTAGGATTAAAACGACTATAGGAGCTTCGTCATATGTCCGTTTTATCAGGCAAAGAGGTTAGACAGTTTGATATATTCCACTTAAGACAAAAGTCAACAACAGGTGTGTTTCTTGTGCAATTTACGCCAACATTTGAGTCAAGTTGATTGAACTAGGATATAGCGGAGAACCAAAAATATATATACATATCAGTAAATATTACAACTACCATTAGCATCGGATCCAGGCGCGTGGAAGTACTTGAAATGGGAAGATTGGACTAAAGACCATTGCTGAACCAGAGGCGATATTTGTGACTATTTCCCGCCAAAAGGGCTACTTTTTTATCCCCCTTTCCACATTGTTTACGCCACAGACACTGGAATACATAGCCATTTTGACGGGATATAGCATCAAATGTTCTTTGCCTGGTAAATGTGGTAATATTATCTTTAATCTCCATATCATGAATTTCAACCACAGCCATTGTCACCTCTAATAGACTCTGTAGTTACCAGAAATGGGGATGCTAGTGACAGTTCATATTTTACCAAACTAAACATGAGGACCACGGAACGCCTGATGAAACCTAGCACACAGTACGGTAAACCCTAGAACTACTGGAGAGATATGTATGAGTTGACTGAGTCAGGGAGACGTAGCTAAGAGGATCAGTAAAGAGTGTGCTTGCATCTTGCGCGCTCTATGTCTGCCTAGCGCCCAGAAAGACATTTTTTCAATGCGTCGAGAAAGGGTAGATTGCCACCCCCATCCTACAGCAGGGAGGGAAATATGGCGTCTTGATAACGAGTGTGTCCTCGATGGTCCGCGTCCAAGCTATTAGCGGGACATGCTAAAGAACCGAAAATACGATGTCTAATAACGCGAATAATTTGGTAAGATGTAAGATGTCAATAAGGCTCACCTTCTGCAGTAACTTAGCAAAAAGATAGCTTTACTGACGACCTTAAGACTGCCGGGTTCACTGTCTCTGGGCAAAGCGAGAGATCCAGGAAACGGAGTGTCCTTATAACTCGCGCCTGTCCACCCGCGGTCATCCAATGCCATACATCAGGACAGGTTCACCTTAGTCTAGCCACTCCACCATCGCTATACATATATAGGCTATCTTAGACTATTATGATGTAGCAAGTGCCGAATTCGATCCTGGGACGATCCTATGTCATAAAGCCTGTTATCTCTGCCCTGAGTACAATGTATTGCTCCTTACTTACCCAGTCGGAGCCCCACACGGTAATATTACATTGGTCTTCTACCCATTACCTAGTCCTGGGACTCTTGCTACCAGGATACTTAACAGCACACAAGTTCATATCCCAAAGACGGCATTTTCCCCTGAACTTTGAAACATCAATCTTTTGCCCTTTGCTACTTCTAGTAGTTTGGACTGTACTCAACACTTTCAGCACTGCTACAGAATCTGTATATAAACTGCTTTAGCGCGGCAGATTCTGGCTAAATAGCACTCATCTAGCGGGACGACGCAATGAATCGTCCCGAAAACATACTAAGCGGCAGCGAACAGCAACTTGTCGTCGCCTTCAGCATACTTAAAGCGGCGTCAAAAGAGCAACTGGTGGTCGTCTTCAGTGTTGAATAATATATATCCTCTTGACGGCTGTTACAAGCGGAGGTTTTTGCGTGTGTTGTAAGGGAGAGGCGGGCGGGTCTCGCCTCACGGGCGGGTCATGGACGAGTAGACGAGGACGGGACTCACCAGCCCCGCAGCCAGTCCCACCTCTCTCACCCCAACACCGCTGGTGCTGCTGGGACACTGCTCCGGTCGCGTGCTGGTCTTGTCGGCTGCAACAAAGGAACACATGTAACACATTATCGAACTGAGGAGAGGAGAGAGGCAGGGAAGGGGTAGGAGGAAAGGGTCGAGAAAAAACTAGATAGAAAACATACTGAAAGTTAAAAACATGCTTGGATGCGAAGCATGCGGCTCTGAGGGCTACCGGCGATACCATTATGTAATGTAAGCAATATAGAGGTAATGATGGCTTCAGACTCGTCAGTGTGTTAAGACAAGGGGTCAAGTATCAATACACGAAAATAGCGTAATAGGGAGGTATTGGAGTACAGGAATGAGAATGTAAGTTTGGGGGAAGGGAGGTGATGAGGAGTGTGAGATGTATTAAGTATTGAGAAATGTATTTAGCGTACAAAGCGCCGTGCATGCGACAGGTGGGAAATCAGGCATATCAATCTGATTGTTACTGAGTAGGGCAATTTTCAGTTTATTGCAGTCTGCTCCGAATGATTTTCAAACAAGCTGGAAAGGATTCGCTTCAATAACAGAGACGACAGAAAGACTAGTAAATTGGAGGGTGAAGAAGCACTCGAGGCGGGAGAGTGTGGATGGGTGATCAGACGCTGGCCTAACAGTGAGCTAATATCGAGAACACTCGCCTACTCTCTATCCTGATATCATCTAGAGCAGCGGGGATAACAGTTCGAAATCTCCTTCATTTCCTGCGACGGAATCTACTGAAAAGGGTTTCCCATATGTTTTGATCATAGATACATTTTTGTTTATCAAACGCAGAACTTTAACACTCCACACTGCCTCCAATATATATATATATATATATATATATATATATATATATATATATATATATATATATATATATATATATATATATATATATATATATATATATATATATATATATATATATATATATATATATATATATATATATATATATATGTATATATATGTATATATATATATAGGGGTACCACCACTGGTTTAATTAAAGGGACCCACATCCTCGAAGGAGAAAATAAATAGTGTTCAGAGAAGACCTTGTGGATTCTCCACAAGGTCTCCATTATATATTCCACAAGGAATATATAATGCACAAGGAGAATATATAATGCGAGAATCCACAAGGATTCTCCATTATATATATATATATATATATATATATATATATATATATATATATATATATATATATATATATATATATAAAATATAGTTTTTGTAGAAGCTGGAGTCCAAGCTAATTGAAACAACTAGAGACCCTAGAGCCGCCAGTTTTCTCTTTCAGCGCCTTAGTGTGGCAAATCCTGAGAGGAAATGCTCACTGCACCCATGGTTCCTGCCCGCCATCTGAGGAGCTGTAGGAGCTCCTCAGATGAGCTCCTACAACTTGAGACAAGTAGCCTTGTACCCCTGCATGTAACCAATGTTGTAACCCCTTTTGTGTAATGAAATTTTAAAATAAAGCTAGATATACATACACATACTAAAAGAATAGGGGTGGTAGGAGAAGAAAATATCAGTGTTCAGTGAGGATCCACAAAGTTTTCTGAGTACTCCTTATTTTCTTCTCCGAGGCTATGGGTCCCTACACTTGCACCTGAGGTGGTACCCCTTTAGGTTTATATATTTATTATATATATATATATATATATATATATATATATATATATATATATATATATATATATATATATATATATATATATATATATTTATATATATAATATATATATATATAAATCATATATTTATTATAAATATATATAAATCCAGGCAGGGAAGCAGGTTAATAGAAGAGCGGTCCCTGAAAATTGAATATGTGCATTATGTAGGCACGAAAAGGAGATCAATAAATAAAGACAACGCAATTAATATATACACACATTCTCTATAAGAGGAAGGCTAAGGGTCGAAAAGTGAAAATAAAATATAAAATAATATATAGGTGTAAAGGTCAAAATAAACAGAGGTGTCCTTCCATCGACCATGTCTCTCTTTATTGGGAAGCAAAAATACATACCTATGAATGCCGAATTAGATGTCTCCCATATATATATATATATATATATATATATATATATATATATATATATATATATATATATATATATATATATATATATATATATATATATATATATATATGTATATATATAATACTTATTCACAGAACAAAATTTGTAGAGTGTATGTGTGATTACTTAAGTGTGGTTACATGATGAGAGCTACGCTAGTGGTGTCCCGTTTTCCCAGTGCTCTTTGTCGTATAACGCTTCGAAATTACTGACGGTTTTGGCCACCACCACTTTACCACATAACTTGATCACTCAAGAGTGTATGTATGTGTGTGTGTATGTACTCACCTAGTTGTGCTTGCGAGGGTTGAGCTCTGGCTCTTTGGTCCCGCCTCTCAACTGTCAATTAACTCATGTACAGGTTCCTGAGCTTATTGGGCTCTATCATATCTACATTTAAAATTATGTGTGGAGTCTGCCTCCAACACCTCACTTCCTAATGCATTCCATTTGTCAACCACTCTGACACTAAAAAAGTTCTTTCTAATATCTCTGTGGCTCATTTGGACACTCAGTTTCCACTTGTGTCCCCTAGTGCGTGTGCCCCTTGTGTTAAACAGCCTGTCTTTATCTACCCTATCAATTCGTTTGAGAATCTTGTATGTGATGATCATGTTCCCCCTAACTCTTCTGTCTTCCAGCAACGTGAGGTTTAATTCCCGTAGGCTTTCCTCGTAGCTCATACCCCTCAGTTCGGGTACTAGTCTGGTGGCAAACCTTTCAACCTTTTCCAGTTTAGTCTAATGTGTGTGTGTGTGTGTGTGTGTGTGTGTGTGTGTGTGTGTGTGTGTGTGTGTGGGGCCCAGCAGTGTGTAGCAGTGTTGAGGTGTCCGCTGGAGACGGTGGAGGTCAATCTCTCTACCATCACCAGCCAATGCTTGTCTTGACGTAGCTGAATAAGTCACAAAGTCCACTACGGACTCACCATAGCCCGTGCTACTTGGAACCTTTTATTCCAAGAAGTGAATCTTAAACAACAACAGCTGAATAAATCCTCAAGGGGCGACAAATCAGTGTCTCCAAGTCTTGGCTTCACCACAACCTTTCATTTATGTCCCTGCATAACATGACCCTCCAAATACCGAGCATTGCAGTATGACGAGTCACAGATCATTCGGGATGACATGGGAGTGTGCGTCAAGGATTATCATGCTTATAAAAAATATACCTGCAAGGTGGAAGTGCGAGGGGAGGATGCGAAGGAGGTGAGGAATGAGAGGAAGAGGAGCCACAGTAACCACGGTCTTGGGCGTGGTTTGGGATGAGAACATGTCTCACCTCTCTCCCTCGATAAGAGAGAGAGAGACACACACACACGAAGAGTAAGGGTGAGAAAGGGTGATAATGATGAGTCTACTAATTAATATTTTGGTCTAATAATTAATCTATCATACTCTAATGATGTAAAATGTAAAAGTATCGTATATACAGTAATGTTATTTAGGAATGTTAAATAGCTTTATGCTTAAATATTTATTTGGTCGAATTTAGTGACGACTAACTTGGTGGTTGATACAAGGGGGAGCAATGGAACTCAAGCGGAAAGTTAGACTACAGTCCGTGTGGAACACCAAGAACAACGGCACAAACTACTTGTCGATGACATAAGAGGACCAGCTACGGTTACCTTCGTCTTCTTAACTAAATGGACCGAGCGGGTGAATGGTGCAGGTGCCGTCGGTGCTGGAGTCGCGACTAGCGCATGCGCACTCACCTCCCTTCCCTGTCAAAGTGGACCGCTCAGTGGAGCCAGCCAGGCGCCAAGCGGCGGCCAGTGCTCACTCAAGACCCACGCACACTCACACGCGCCCCCCCTCCACACGGCACCACTCATCGGTATTACCTTTTATTGTGTGTGTGTGTGTGTGTGTGTGTGTGTGTGTGTGTGTGTGTGTGTGTGTGTGTGTGTAATGGTGTCTATACTACTGTCACTGATAAATGACTCGTTCGCAACACAACCATTGAATTGGCTTGTGGCGTTATAATGTCCCTCTGACACAATCATCTAAGGTATTTGATATATCAAGCCCGTCTGACACTGGATAAATTTGAAGCACAGTCAACCCGAGATAAGACTTTTGGACTGAGCCACGAATACAATTAATTCAAATTAGACATCTAGTATACATACACTGCGTTACTAGAAACACACACAGGCTGGACCTTGATTTATCTTTAAATGGCTTAAAACGCTCAGACTGAAATGTTTATGGCACTCATACCGATCCGAATAAAACACTCACTCTGAGGTGTTTAATACACTGATGTGGACCTCTTGTAAACACTCGCGTTTAGATATGTAATAGATATATTCTGTTTAAGAGAAGCTTATCTGTGTCCAACACTCATATTGTGTCGTTTCTGAGCAATAAATTGATATAACACAGCTTCAGTTATTTCATTAATTATTTCGATATTGCATGTACTTATATGATCAATATAGTCTCCTAACACTCCAAACAATAGGCAATAGATTTGAAGCGGATGAGCTTGTGTTCGACTCAAACTCCCGCCAAAAACGCACGAAATTGACTTCTGTTGGTCCTGGACCTCAGTCCTCTAATTTTAAGAAACTTCGACCCACATTGAGAAATTTATCTGGTTTAATTTTGATAAAGGTTTCCTTCTGAATTGATTTTAGGTGAAAGGTATTACCAATCTAACAATTTGCTGGAGAGGGATGGCGGGTGTGGGGGGGAGGGAAGCTGGGTAGCTCTGAGTGTGTTTTGCGGTGGTCGCGTGAAGTGTATCTTTAGTGAGCCCGGCACCACCGGGGACTGACGGAAGCCCTCCACACCCTTATCAGCTACAAGGCTTCCTTTTCTCCTACGTTCTGTGGTCCCCGACGCTCTATAGTGGAGCATTGTTAACTGCGTGTCAGCCATGCACTGGTGCAGTGTTAACTGCGTGTCAGTCATGCACTGGTGCAGTGTTAACTGCGTGTCAGTCAT